GTTACAATAGCATTCTCTGTCACTATAGAGAAATTAAATAAAAATTCCCAAGCATGCCCCCCCCCTCCAAAAAAAAATCGTCCACACATTCTTCTTTAGCTCCCCCCCTCCACTCAAAACCTTGCTGCGCAGTCCCTGTATCCAAGAGACCTTTCCCGCATTCCACTTCGGTGCTTATGAACAATAGTACCAAAGTGAGGTTAGGGTGGACATTTTCATACATTTGCTGTATTTTAGTCCACCCTAACCTCGACTCAGCACCAATGTTTGTTGGAATGCATGGGGGAAAGGTCTATTACAAAATTTAGTTGTGACTGGATACCCGCAATTGAGTGACTACACATTGAATGATGAATTTTGTTATAGCTAGTTTTGAATTCTAATCGCTCAATAACATATGGGCATTCAGGGTGCAGGGTACAATACTGACTAATTGTTTAATTGTAAATGTATCTAATAAATGTATGCAATGTAACTTACTTTAAGAGTCACCTCATATGTACATTCTTTGTTAGAATGAAACACGTCAAACTGAAAGGAGCCTAGATTTTGAAGACAGGACATGTTATCAACATGGAGAGTATGATTAGTAGGTAAGTGATAACAAAAGCTATTAAAAGGTGTCCAAAGGATGGATGAGTTATTTTCTGAGTGACAGGCTGCTTGCAGGTGTGTTAAAATATCTATTTTGTTTGACTTCAGCCCATGCAAACACTGAGCAAAAAGCATGTTTGCCTGTGTTAGTATCCTGTGATGCATAGCATGTTTTCTTTGCTAAATGGGATTGCAAAATGGCACCACAGCAAGTGTCTATATTGACTATACTTTAAAAAAATGGCATCTAACCAGTGCTGTCAGTAAAGTCTGGGTTGACTGTTTTCTGTATCTCTACGCCTGTAACAGACTTGGACCGTGACTTGTGGGTGAATTTTATAGACAATGGGGAAGTTCACTTGTAAGGCCAAGGTCCCATCCACCATCAATCATACCTCAGTCACAATAGGTGTTACAAGTTATGACAACCCTGAGAACTTTGGTTTCACAAATTTTACAGTAAATGCTTTCTGTCTTGACCACTGAAATGTTGGCTGACAGAGGTTTTGGAGTCGGTAGATAGTTTGTGCAATGTTACACAATCTAGTTCTTAATTTCAAGATGCTTATACAGCAGTTTCAATTGAGTGTTGAAAGTAATCAGCGAATTCCTTTGGTTTTGTTTTTGGTTTCACCACGGTTTGAGATTGGCTGAGTAGTCTAATTGGTATGTAATTGGCTTGGTTTTGGTTTTACAACACTCGATTAAAGACTGTTCCAATCGGCATCAACACAAATTAACATTACTGGATGAGGAAGAAACAGCAGCTTGTATTGGAAGGATTATGTAGCGTGTGTCAACAAAATAATCATGTAAGGTTATGCAGAGAAGGTTCCTGAAGACACCCTGAAGACAGATCCCGGTAACGCACATGGACCATCCCCATCACGGCATGTACCATCCTGAAAAACCCGAGGAGATCATTGTTGTTTCAAACTGCAGGGCAGCTACTACTCCAAGGGCCTTGTGGAATACTGAAAGGCTGTATGCCCTTTTGGAGCTATCTCTTCCCCAAGCTGCTCCAACTACGCCCAACAAAGGACAGCAAATGATGACGGAAAAATATGTGGGAGTGCTGTTGCAAGTACAATGCGCTCCACAGATGACTACCTCTGTTCTGTCAGTGCAGAAACCATAGCCAAGGAACAAATCAAAGGAATTCCTCTGCCGTCAAGCATGCACTAAAGGTGGATTTAATCTTACAACGTTCATCTGCAAGCAACAGAATGCCCTTCAGTCCATTGCTGAAGAACAACAGTTCAAAGATGTTAAAAGGTCGGATCTAAACTACAGTGAGCCACCCCATCAGGGCTGTTATTAAGTTTTAATTCACCTGTAGCCTTGATTCTCACACCCGTAGCAAACTTGTTACTTTATGGGTGAATTGTATCAACCACAGGCCAGTTGACCCATAACATCAACAGTCCATCAAACATACTCAGCCATAACAGGTGTTATGTGTTATGACCCTTATTGACAGCCCTGCCGTATTGACCATGTTCTTGGTGTAAAGTGGTGTGTCAAATCCCACACCTTCAGATTTTACATCACCATTAAGGATAAACTGCTTTCAAGAAGAGGAATTATTCCTCTTCTTGAAAGCAGTAAAGTAAAGTTACTGATGACCACTCCAATAAAACACAAAGACTCACCTGATATGATATCAGGTGGGTCTTTGTGTTTTATTGGAGTGGTCATCAGTAACTTTACTTTACCTGTGCTAGGAATAGTGGCACACAAGACAGGCAGGAAATTAAAACAAATAGAGAAGTTATGTTTGACAGCTCACTGCATTGTGTTTTTGAACATGGCATGTTACTCTCACAGTGTCTCCCTTCACCCAGATATACAAATGGGTACTGGGTGAATTTCATACTGGGGCTAACCCTGTAATGATCAGGCATTCCATTTAAGGGGGCAGGGGGAGTAGAAAAAGATGTCTTATCAATTGATGTTACAGAAACTGGGGTAAGGTTTGGCAGTTTGGATCACTGATGGCCTGATGAAGACTTTACCTTACCTTCTTCGTTGAAACTCCCCCAAGTAAGGTCCAAACTTCTAATGACTTATTTTTAAATTGTGTAGTTTGTAAAACTTGAGAGATCAAGGAATTCCTTAAAGGTAAAAACATTTTCAGTTTCTCATTAGGTACAGAACAGAGATGCAAAGGAAAAGAGCTATGTGCTGAGACTC